CAGCAGCATCCGCAGCAGCATCCTTGTGTGGCTTCCACATGTGTGTCTGTTATGAATAAGGCAAAAAAGAAAGAAACTTGGGCTCTGACTTGGATGTACTTCCCAGCTATTGCCTGCCATCACCTCCCATCGCCTTCCATTGCCAGTTGCCAGCCATACAGCGCCATGGAGTCATGGAGCCAGGCACGGTTAATAAAACAGACAAACACTCAAACTTTTGCTATAAAAATGTTTAGCTCCTGGGGGCTGCGTGCGGAAAGAAAGGAGTTTTTTTTAAGTTGCCGGCGTTGTTTGCTTGCTAAACAAGTGCTATTAAAAGAGCATAAAAAGGTGGAAGGTGAATTGGGATTCCGCCTTTTGGTAGGTGGAAGGTATGGAGCAGTAGAAGGAGTAACAGGCGTACGCCTGCAGTCATCGTTAAGGCAACTCCTCTGCCTGGCTAAAGGGACGGGGATCCTGCCCAAAATAATCTACATGAAAACTCGGGCTGGGTCTGAATCTGGTTTTTTATATTTAGGAACTTAGGTGCACTTTTGCAGTTGTCCTTTTACGTTTATAATGCAAGAAAAGCGGAAAAAATAAGAAACAAACGAATGCAGTGGATTTTTATGCTTAGTTTTTACTGCAAAAGGTTTTAGTGTACATATAAAACATTATCCACCAAAAAAAAGCGCCCATAAAGCGAGTCAGGTAGGAGCCCTTACCTGTCCATCAAGTCAAGTGTACAAGAAGCACCCACTGGTTATGTCAGAGTCTTACTTGGAGAATAGGGATCTGTTCTGGTATAGTGCCCCGAAAGTTGCATCAACAAATGCCGTGTGATTCATGGATTCGTGCCCCAAAAATGTGAACCCCCATGCAATGGGATTTTTGTGCGACCAACCGGTCGTATGAGTAACATGTGCACTTTATGCATTTACAGGGATGGGATCGGCGCTGGGGCTGGGCCTGGGCCTGGCCCTATTTGCTTTATTTATATTTCGTTGCTGTGCCATTTTGTGCGCGCATATTAAACAGGTTTGTGGCCGTGGCAGGCAGGCAGGACCATCATGATTGCCATTCAGGCAGGACGTCAGTATGGTGCTCAGAAAGGACACCCTGAGCTCGGCAGGGATTCACGCAGTACACAATACCGGGGTCAGGAAAGGATATCGTCCAGAGGGAGACAGCACAGTAGCACCCGGCAGCGCAGAGTGCAAAATGCAGTAAAATATTGAAATTGTACAGTTCCCGTTGTGCAATGAGGCACAATGCCAGCGACGTTTTTCGCCACTCATACAAACCAGCTCTAAAAGTGCACTCGCATATATGGGGGACATTTTTGGATTTTACGTGACTGGCATGACGTTTGTTTTTTGTTTTGGGGGTACCTTTTGCTGTGTACCTGCAGTCCAGCGAAAAAGAGAAGCTTGCAGCGGCCAAAATATCAAATATTACTAGTAAAAGCGAAGAAAAGTGGTGTCGTCAGAGAATACCTAAAAGACATTTATGGATTTCAATGAGTGTCACTTGAAATTGTCATAGATTTTATCATTGATCTATTCTGTCTATCCTACGTTTTTGACTGCTCTGCTTTATTCCTAACGTGTCCTTCAGTCAACTCTTCAAAGAATTAAGATACTCTTAGTTACTGGAGACCTTTTTAGGGTTAGGATTCCTCTTTGGATGCTGGCTAATTGTTCCGAGAATTTTTGTTTGGAATTCTCGTAGTTATCTGGAATGTTGCGGATATCTCATAAACATTAAAACCCTTCCAAAGGCGCCGCAGGGATCATTTGATAAAATATGTTTTAATAGCCCTTTTACTGTTAAATACATTCCTTTCACACCTGAAACCATTTTAAAAAAGCAACCCATTAAATAAAAACACTAAGGTAATTGTTTTTTTAATGTCATTTTTCGTTTTTTTGATTAACATTTTTCCATTTTATTTGATTATTTCTCTCTGGCTCGACTGCAATCGCTTTCAGGCTGCTGCAGCGCCTTCTTCTATGCATATATTAACGTGTTTGCTTCTGTGTGTGTGTTTGGGGGTGTGTGTGTGTGTATAGCTGTGAGTGTGTGACGGTTTGTATGTGAGTTTGTTCCGGGGGCTTTGTTCGGTTTTGATTGAATTGGATAGGCTTTTGATAGGCGCTTAACATAATTATGGGATTTTGTTGCACACGTTTCCTCGTTTTTCTCTCTCTGCTCGATTTTTTCCTGCTGTTCCTGCACAAATGCAATTATGTAGCTGTAATGTGCTTGATTCTGTATGAGCTGTGTATGGGTTTGGGGTTCGGGTTCGGGGTAGGGCTCGGGTTGGGGTGGAGCTGATTCCGCTATAATGATCTAGACATATGTCGTGGCGGGAACTGAAGCTCCCCTGCAGCGTTGCTTTTTGTGTGTGTTTTGTTTTTTACATTTTTTATGCAAATACATACTAGTATTAATACAGTTTTCTCATTAGTTTGTTTCCTTTGTTAATGCGCACATTGAATTCTTGTCATTATTTATATATTGATTTATATATATATATATATTTATATGTACATACACAACATTTAATCATTTAATTGTATTCCTTTAGCTTACACCGTAACTATGTATACATAATTAAATATAATTATGCTAGTATGTGTATATCATAGGGTATTACTGATTTTTTTTTCACTTTTCACTTCGTTTTCGTTTTCCATAATTGTTACCATAATTTTCCAACGTTTCCAACATATGTTCAGCTACAATTTATTTGATTTTTTTTTTCCATCGTACCGTCGTACATATTTTTTATTTTATACTTTTCATTTTTGTATGTAATCATATTTGTATGCATAGCTTGCTCTTGCACACAGTTTTCTTGTCTGCTCAAATAACATTTATGTATATATATATATATATATATATATATATAGTATATATATATATGGGTGTATATATATAGATTTGTATATATGTAAAGTGATGCATGCGCCGAAACACAGTTTGTCGTTGGCTCTCAAAAAACACCATTTCGCCAAGTTGAAAAAATAAATCAGTTTCCTTTTTGTCCGCAACATCTCGATGTGCTCTCTCTCATCACAACTTATAGAAATCAGACCCTACCATCCTATCCATCCAATTGAAAGTGTTCTAATTTTTTTCATTTATATTCTTCTATCATCTGAATCGTTTTCGTTTTCATTTTCATTTGGTTTTGGTTTCTTTGGTATGTAAAAAATAGTTTACAATTTGTATTCGTTTTGGGTTTTTTTCTTTTGTTGGTTTTTTGTTTTTTCATGACAAGCATGACAAGTTTTTTCATGCCTTTGTAAATACCATAAATAATTGTGTTTAGGTTTACATTTAGTGTATAGTTTTACAGTTACACTTACGATGATCCTTAACTAAACATTGACTATTTTGCTTTTGCTACACGTTTTCTTCTCTCGTATTTCTCTTTCTTTTTCTTTTTTTCTCTAAATATTTCGCTAGATTTGCCCTCTGACTGTCTCTGCCTTACAGTAGGTTTCTCTTAATACATTTACACGTTACACAAACACAGATACATTATGAATATCTCTTGTCTGAATACCTTATGAGTGTGTGTGTGTGTGTGTTTGTGTGTGTGTGCTGCTGTGTGGTAGCCTCTGTTCTATGGATATCATCGTTTAGGAGTATCTGTATATATTTATCTCTGCCTCTCAACCTCCTCTAAATGTCGTATGTATTCGGTGCAATTATACTACTCGATTTGTGGTGTGTGAGTGTGTGTGTGTGCTTAACTCAGTTACATATATCTTGATATTTTCCACTAGGTAATGCTGCTGGATAAACACTTATAATTTATGAATCAACTGATCGAAGCTAGTGGTGGCACATTCGACTTGCCCACCCCACCGCCTACATATACGACTACTTGCCTCAACCTTATGCTAGGCACATCAATCGGAATGATTTTCGGAACGAAATCAATATTGTGTGAGTAAAGTCATGGCAATAATCAGGAAACATTCAAGGTAGGACCAATATTCAAAAATTAATTTTCAGTCAACATAAGTCTGCTCTCAAAGATATCTCTGCGTTCTGCTCCTCCCTCTATAGACTATATGTGTTTTTCTTCAGCTTAAAGTACACTTAGATTGTAGGTATTCTGCCTTTTTTTTTGTTATTTGCATTTTGAAACGTAATTCATAGACAGCAAGCCTTTGGTAAATAATCATAACCACGTCTGTTATATATGTAGCACCCACTCTATTCTTACTCTGGTATATATGTACATACCTACATATGTACTTCTATGTGTTTCTTTCTATACCCTACTAAAATACATTTAGAGTTTGTTTTCTTTACTGGATGGGCCACTTTATCCACCCACCCACCCACCATTTTGCCGCGGATGGTTGGGTGGTAGCTCCATCAAAAATAGACACAAATAACACACATTCATAACTTTTTATTTTTTGGTTTTTGGTTTTCAGTTTTCGGTTTCTTTGATTAGATCAATTTTAATTATGACTATTGAACTTTCTGGCCGCCTGTCTTCTGTTCTTGCCTTTCTGAATGCTTAATCTATGCAGCCATCAACAATTTGGTTAGATTTTCTGTTTTTCGTTTTGGATTGCATTTGAATTATGTATTCTCATGGTTATATTTACGGCAATCTCTTTGGGACTAACATCAGCTATGAACAAAATTGCAATCTTTTCACACTTCTGGCAATCCATAGACTTGGGTCACTTGATTTATGCCCCCTCCTGCTGGTGGTTGTTGCTCGTTGTTCTGTACCTGCTGCTGCTGCTGTTGCTGCTGTTGTTGCACCCAGTGGGATGGATAATACAGTTGCGGGACATAGTGTGGCTGCTGCTGCTGGTGCTGCTGCTGCTGCTGGTGATGGTGGTTCTGTGGTGGTTGCAGTTGCAGTTGGTGGTGCTGCTGGTAATGTGGCTCCTTCACATATTCGCCGGACGTGGTCAACAGTGGCAGTTGCTGCTGCTGCTCTTGTGGCTGTTGCAACTGTTGCTGCTGTTGTTGCTGCTGTTGTTGCTGTTGCTGCTGCTGCTGCTGTTGTTGTTGCTGTTGTTGCTGTTGTGTGGGATACATGGCCACGCCTCATGGCAGCTACACGAGCAAACTAGGCGCCAGCCACTCGTCCTCCGCAAGCTGGAAGAGAGCCACAAGCACAATTCACAATCGTTAGCCATCATCTGGCCAGCAATGACCCACTCACCTGCGGACTGACCTGAAACTGTTGCATGGGATAGGCCACCACTCCGGTAGCCTGTGGCAGCCCATTGCCCACGCTCTGGGGGATCTGCGGTGCCGTGCCTGCAGCGGCACCCGCCAATTGCGGCTGTGCTGGGACACTCTGCCAGGTTCCCGGGAGCTGCACGCCCATTCTGGAAATAAAAATATTGGAAGAAAGGATTGGTTTACCCACTGCTTGGCACTCTCTATCTCTCCGCAGAATAGCAGTCAGTGCTCAGTGCTCACCCCATGTATCCGGCCTGCTGATAGCCGGCGAATTGACCGTAGGTGAAGCCCTGCATGCCCTGCAGGAACTGGCCCGGCTGCAGGGCGCTGGCCGGGGCCGCAGTGGGATATGTGGGTGCCGGTGGATACCAGTAGCCGGCCACCTGCTGCCCGTAGGCAGCCGCTGCAGCTGCTGCAGCCGCGGCGGAGCCAAATGGAAAGCCCTGGGCCAGGGCCTGGCCGGCAATGGCCGACATATGGTTGGGATCGCCGCTCTCCTTGCCCCACGCACACTTCACCGGCTGCTGGTTGATTTCCGTGTTGTTGACGGCCACAATGGCATGGGTGGCCGCCTCCTTGGTGGAAAAGCTGAAATCGGAATCAGAGTTGGAATTTGGAGTATATATTCACATAGTGGGGGTTATGGATAAGGATACGGATAAGGATAAGGTTGCAGTTAGCAGATTGGCCTGCTTTAATTTCCGTTTAACCCAGAAGCAGCAGAAAGTTGGTGTTTGGCAGAACAAAAGCAGCGTAAAAGTGGTACAAGCGTCTGTGGAATTGTTTTGTTGCTGGTTCCAGTGGTGGTTGCTGCTGCTGTTGCTGTTGCTGGATTGGTTATAATGATGCAGCAACTGCGACGGCAACTCTGATGCAGCTGCTGCTGTTGCTGCTGCTGCTGCTGCTGCCTGGGTCCACTTGTAGTCCCCGAGCTCATTATGTTACAAAATGCCAAACAATGCTTCTCCCCCTCTCTTTCACTCTCTCCCCCTAGCCATCTCTTTCGCCTACTTTCTCTGGTTTTTTGCATCACGTTTTGCAACACACAAATGAGTTTTGGAGCAGGGCACAAAAGGCGCCCATGGACATGGCCAGCCAGCAACTGCAATGCGTTCGCTCCCTTGACTGTTGCACCGCCCCCGTCCCTGCACTATCTTCTCTCCCCCTCTCTCTCCCTTGCTACCGCCAGCTCTCTTGTTGCGGTGGGTTGAACTCTGTTCGTCGTGGGCCAACGGCTGCCATTAAAACCCTATCAGCATTCGTGACGGCAGCTGCGATCTGCAGCCACCTCCCCGGCAGCAGTTTTTTTCTTTTTTTTGGCCCGCTCAATGCAGTTGCTATACCCTTTCAAAAGGTATTACCATGTGGACCAGAAGAATGCGTTTCAGAACTGCAAAGACGCCTGCCATTGGTAAAGACGAAACTACTAATCAAATGAAACTCATCAAATATATGTTTCATACGCAAATTGTCACCCAATTTGGTCCTTCAATGGAAACAAACAGAAGCTGACTCTCAGAATATGTTAGTCTGCGGACTGCAAAGGGTATGTCGGGGTTTTCTCTGGACCAAAGAAAGCTATCCGGCATTTTTTTCTCTTTTTTTTTGTGCCATCGTTGTCGCTGTTATTGCGGTTCATTGTTCTGTTTGCAACTTCAAATTTGCCTCGTCGTTGTTGCAGTTGTTGGGTGTAAAAGTGTTGTTGATTTATTAACGGCGGGTGGCTGGGATCGGGATTGGGTCTGCTGTTGGTGGTTGGGGTTTGGGTAAGGGCTGGGGCTGGGGCTGGGGCTGGGGCTGGGGCTGGGCTTGGGAGCTGCGCCACACATTGATATGGCGTGCACTCAGCGACGACGACAACGACAACGACAATGGGAATACGCGACGCTGACACCGCAGACCGCAATACACGCACACCGACAGAGGAGTCGGTTTAAGTTCGGATGGAGATGGATGGATGGAGGTAGCTGTAGAGGTAGAGGTAGAGAAATCAAAATGGTGGGTAACAATGAGTTAATGTAGTACACAATGGCCGCTGCTTCTTCGTTTTTATACCCTGGAAAAGGGAAGGATAGTTTCGAACAGAGATTTTGAACGTAGCAAACCTCAAAAACTTGAAAGTATTCTATTCTGCGCCAGCTCGAACAATATATGGGCATATATTTGGCAGAATGAATTCCGAAAAGCCTAAAGCTACTATAGAAACTATCTACTTTTAGTTGGTAATTGCTGTAAGGTGCTATGTACTCTGGGAAACGAGAAAGGGAGAGCGGGTGAATCGCTGAACGATTGCCTGATCATTAAGTCCTGCCCCTTAATGAGAATACTTACCGAACAAATGCATATCCTTTGTCCTTGAAGACGCGTATCTCCTGTATTGTGCCATAGGGCGAGAAAGTCTTCTGCAGTATATCCTCGTTGAGGAAGCCGGAGAGGGCGCCGTTGATGCCGCCACAGTAGACAGTGCAATTGGTGGGGCTGCTCTGGTTGTACACCTCGTCGAAGGTCAGCGGCTTGGCGTTCACTGCAAGAGGCACGAAAGCAAAGCGGATTGAGATGACAATGGGATGGGTTGGGATCGAGTGGGGTTCTTAAGGGGCTGCGATGATGAGCTGATGGACGGGTATACTCACTGTCTGCCTTGGTTGCCGGCGGCTTTCGTGTGGCCCAATTTGTGCGTATCGAGCGCGAGCCCAACCACTGCCCATTCATGGCAGTGATGGCGGTTTCCGCTTCCTGCAACGAGCCAAATTAAATGGAGAGCAATTAGCTAAAAGCACAACGCCATTTGCGGGGGTTTGTCTAGCCGCCTAAGCCGCTTACTTAAGTTTCTCTCTGCCAACTGTAGCAACCAGCAGCAGGAGGGAGTGCCGTGCCTCTGACGCTGACGCTGAGAGGCCAACCAAAAATGTATAAACAAACAGCTCAGAAAGTGTTAAGGAAAAGCAGCAGCCGGCATAGCAGCAGCAGCAGCAGCAACACAAAAAATGAATAAATAAAGAGAAGAGCGCAAAACAATTGCGACGATGGCGGAAAAGTTGCTCCTTGCGGGAAAGCAGGCGACATTGTTGCTGCTCGGTTGCCTTTTGATTTACTTGAAAGAAAGTACCAGCCACCGGGAGGAACGTTGATGGGAGTGCCTTTTCCTATACGTACCATTTACAAGGCCGTGCACAAATTATAATTTCAATTTCGCATAAAAGGTAATTCGTGCGTATCAAACGTGATTCATGCCAAAATGATTGCAACTGGCAGAAGGTCCTTGCATGCATGCACCGCCAGACCACTCTCTCTCTCTCTAGTCGAGTAAGCGGGGATGTCTGGAGAGTGCAGTATGGTGGGCGTTTCATAGCAATTTACTTGCGGCACACCATGAGACCTCAGACCTAGAACGCAACCCCCCGCCCCGCGCCCAAGTCTGAACCAGAACCGATGCTATAGCTATGCAATAATGGCATTTGCCGAGCTGCAGACGTTGCAGCTGCTCATTGCACGTTCTTTAAATGGCAACCGACTCGGCTACGGCATCGGCAACGGCAACGGAATCGGAGTCGGCGTCTGCGGTTGGCAGTAACTGTAACTAGGCACACACCGCCCAGCCACCCACCGCCCTGCCATCCAGCTACCTCGGGGTTTTCCGCCTTTTTTCTTTTCATTAATTTTCCTTCTGCTTTGTGCAGGGGTCTCTGGGTCTCTGGCTGTGCTACGTGCCACGCTTGAAATCAGCGTTGACGTGCAGCGGCTGAAAAAACGGTTATTCCCAAACCGGAAGTAGACTCTGGGAGAGGCAAACTTTTGAAGAGCTTACACAGGACTACGGATCTTGTTTGGCTAATGACTCTGTCTATGAGTGGAAAGTTTGAACATTGCCAATCCACCGTCGACTTAATGGATGCAGAAGAGGTTTTAAAAGTTCTATACATAACTGATATTTTATGGGGGTATTTTATAGACTCCCAAATAGGGATCTCCTATTTACACTGATCATATCTCTGCCGAGTCCGTTTGAATTGCTTCGTTTTGTATGTACTGGATTGCTGGATTACTGCTGCTTGGCTTGCACCTTTAATTTTTTAACCACTTGAGCAAAAGTCAACAATCGAGCGCCTGCCCCGTCAGCGATAAACCACGCAGCTGTCGCCCAACTTTGGCCATAATTTAATGTCTGAATGTGTGCGTGCGTGTGCGTGCGAGTGTGTGGCATGTGTGGGTACTCTCGAGTATGCCCGTTTGGGCCCAGGCAACGCGTTGCAACGTCGCTGTCGCTCAGTTTGCGTGCGTGCGCATTTTTATGCATTGCCAGTTGCATTTTTCATATTTGCATAAACTATAAATTTTACATTTTTTAAGCGATACGCATCGTTGATTGCAACACACACACTCTCACACACGCATATACACTTACAAACAGGGCCACAGCCCCCACTCAAGTGCCCCACCGCGGGGAGTCCCCCCCTGCGATTGCCTGTCGGGCACAAAATGCCATTTAAATACTATAACTTTAGCTTTAAGTAACCCGGTACTCATTTTATATTTGCTGCTGCTGAGACTGCTCGGTATTGTGGCTGTTGAATGGTTCGCAGCAGGACACATCATTCAGGACTTATTCAGGGACTGACGTCCAGTCAAGTGCAGCAGCTCCCCCGGATTCCTTGGCACAATTGCAATTGCAATTGCATGTGTCAATGAAAATTGTCTCAGCAAACGGTCAGCTTAGATGGGGCTCTGTTCCTGCTATCCCTTTCTCTCTTGCCCTTCGAGGGATGGACGGGTTTGTTGAGGGAACTTTTTTTCCCAGACAAAAACTTCTCTTCTTTTCTGCAATGGACATTTTTGGTCGAGCAGTTTTTGTTGCTTTGACAGTCTTTGAACCTGGCAAACTTTATCAATCATTTTGGTGGTAAATTGCTTCGAAAATAGACGGTTTAAAGGTAGTCTGCTGGAGCTTAAAGAACATTGAGCCACCGTAATGACTTGATTATATCACAATTGGGAGTTCAAGAACCTTTTGAGTCATTTGCCAATTCATCTTGCTCGAGTGGCAGTTTAAGGACCGCAATATGGCACCCACTACGACTTGGCAAACTATTTATGAAACACTCCCTCCACCCGAAAAACCCCACCAATTTGGGCCCAAAACTTGGCTCAGAGAATATGTAAGCTAATTGGAAATTTACTGGGGGAAAAGCATTGGGTCAAGCAGCGGCAGCCGCCAGACGACAATGGAAAGCAACCGTCTTGGGGTTTGACTACTACTTGTCCCTGTCCAATCGACAGTTGGTACGGCGAAAAGTTCTTTGTGTGTATGTGTGTGTGTGGCTTAACTGTTTGCAGTCGATTGTAGTTTGTGTGGGCGGAGGAGGGAAATTAATTAATGGTGAATGGCAAATTGGCAGCTAATAGCAGGAGCGGAGAACTTCAAGCATTTTCCGCTCTGTCGCTGTGACAACCAGCAAAACATCTGTAATAGCAGGAGCAGCACACGCCTAGTTCTACTCCTAGTTCCAGTTCCAGTTCCAGATCCAGTTGTTGCCAAATTAATTCCTCTTTGATTAAAAGTTCTCTGGCTGTGCTGTTCTGTTGGACAGTCAAAAGTTTTGTGTCGCGTCGCCTCCCGCGACACGCGACGAACAATTCATTTGAAAATTTTCTAAATGACAACTTCCGCTTTTGGGATAAGTTAATTAATTTTCATGGACATGGATGGCGGAAAAGTTTTGGCTTTCTGCAAAATTTAAGAACATTTTGCCGCACAGATTCAATTTGGCGGCCAAAAACTTCTGGTGCAATTCGGAGACTGGGCCCTTTGTAAATATTGATTACTTGATAAGGCGCAGAATCCTTTAATGCTTGATATAGTCCCTCCCATTCCCCATTCCTCGAAACGAGCCGTGGTCGAAGCGGAAATGAGTCGGTGGGTGGGTGTGGATGGGGGTGGGTCAGGGCCAAAGTTTTAAGCAACAAAACCAAAAAGGCGAAATACCTTCATTAAGCGAATGAAGAAAAGCAAAAGTAAGTTGAAGAATTTTTAAGTGGTTTAAAAGGGTTTTGTCATACTTTTCCATGTGGATCTCTTACTGGAATCGACCCAAGCCCAAGACCCGAAAATTTCGCTTGCCACAAAATGGGGGCAGAATGGTGTCCTGTGCTGTCCTGTGCTGCTTGTGGCTAACGTTTCGTGTGTATACAGCCGTAAGTCGAGAGCAAGACATTTTAAATGTTTATTAAAACAATAAGGAAATGGTTTTGTGCCTAAGCGAAAAAAGGCCAACCGGAATACGAAGAACTGTAGCCGAAAGAAGGTGCAAAAAAAGGGCAAACCCAAACACACACAGCCTCACCCACACCCACACCCACACCCACATACAAAAAGGGGATAATCCGACACATTTGGGGGGTGGGGAAAATAAGAATGTTCTTCCTTCTTTTCTTTTGAGGGGCCGTTTTGTTCCTTAAAAAGGTACACCAGACACCAAGTATTTAGTGTCCCTTTTCCCCCATTCGAGAGTAAAAGGTTTTTTCCTGGCCAACTCCTAAGCCGGTTTAGCTTTGTTCTTCGGTCAGATTCATTAACGTGGCTATTTAGATAAGCGTGAAAGTCGGTATCAGGAGGGTACGGCATCATCCCAGTCCCCCAGTTGAATATTAAAGAGAGATAGATTTCTTCCCGAGCGCAATTGTACGAGTTCTGATGATGATTTTTCGATATTTATAAAACAGCTCAAGTGGCAAATCGTTTGCACACTCGAAGAAATGTTGTCCCATTTGTCGCATTCCAAAGAGCAGGACATCCATCGATGGAGCCGATGATGATGTGGCCAAGCAGATACGGCAGCGAGAGTCCTTAGTCATCCAACTCCAGCTCCGACTCTGGTTTCTGGCTGCGATTGGGATTCTGTCTCTTTCGGGGAATCATGTCTGGGGCCCAGTCAACGGTAAAAACTGTTTTCATTTCGCTTAGGCCAAAACGATTTTCGATTTTTGACCATTCCTTGCCTGGTCACACATCAGAGCCACATCCAAAATATAGAGTACAGGACGGAGTGGCGGGCGGTTGTTGACCAACAAAAAATCAGTATTTCACGCTAGAACGCACTTTTGTCAAGAAATAATTCCATGGGATTTATTTATGTATGTCAGTTTTTGCCCTGCCCTTGTTTCCCATTCGGAATCACTCCATCCCCCCCCTTTGAATGGTTTTTTTTATAGCTGCTGCCTCTGGGGGCTGAGGGGTAGGGTTTTAGGGTTCAGGCTTATGCGTGTGTAGGCAGTTTGTCCCTATGGCCCTAGTCCTCAAATCACTAGTTTCTGAATTATTATGGAAAGCATAAAATGAATGTCCAGGCCATTTATATTTATAACCTTACCGAGTTCTGTACGCTTCACCAAATTTATAGCCGGAATGTTGAAAATAAATAAATTGAAAATCACGAACAGAATGGCCGACTCTTTAAAGGGCAGTTATAGGCAAAGATCTTTAAGGAAACTTTGTGTAACGATAAGAAAATAATTTCCTTTTGTGAAAATGGTATTTCGTCAAAAATATCGAAAAGCAACAATCGATTAAAAATGGAGAGTACTAGCACCGACCTGTAAAAGTACGAGTATCTTTCCGGAGCCATCCTTTCTTGTTAACTATTTATGATGCACTTTTTATCGACAAGGGGCGAACGGTGGCGGCTACCGACGACAGAAGGAGTGGCTACAATTTTTGAACTTTCTCGATTAGTTTCGATGCAAACCTCAAAAGAGGAAGAAAGAAGCGCACACACACAGACCAAATGGCAAACTCAAATATTTCAAATTAAGTTTCTCGACATGCGTTTTGCAAACACAAACACCCCCATCCACACCCACACCCGCACACAAACACACGCCTTTCCTAAGCCGATATGCCACGCCTCCTGGCCCCCCTCACCGCCCTGTCGCTTGCAGCTGATTTAATGCAAATTTTATTTATGCGAAAAGTTTTATTAAATTTTTGTGCAAAGTTGATATTTTCTGTGGTTTTGCGGAAATTGAAAAGTTATTTTTCGAATGGCTTACTGCACATACACAGAGAACGAGTGGGATATGGCATGTGTGTGTGTGTGTGTGTGTGTGTGCGTTTGTGTGCATTGGGATTGGTAGTAGAGCTGCAAGCGGAAAAGGAAGAAATACATAGTTCCTTTCATTTTGCACTTCCTCTCGCTGCCGGCGCGCTTATGGCATTTTTGCCAATCGCCAAGGCTTTCGCACAAAGCCAATTGCCAATGCCAAAAGCAGCTCAAGCCGTCACCGAAAAACCACAAAAAAATATTTAACGCAAACTGTTTGCAAACATGTTTTAAATAAACACTGCAGTGGGTGCCAAGAGTATCTGCTCTCAGCTCTCAGCTCTCCCCCCCCTATCCGTACGTACGTACGTTCCACCAACCGTTGACGACGCATACAAATTGCCATAATTTAATAACCATCAAGGCAAGCCTGAACTGAGCATTTGCATGAGGAGCGAAAGCAAGGGGCTGCCGGCGCGGCGTGTCATTAGCATCATAAATCACAGGAAAAAACAACGACAAGTGCGGACAAAAATTTACGCAAACATTAAACGCAATAAACATGTCGATGCCAGAGAAGAGACAGGAGGAGAAAGAGCAATGGTGCCAGCCAAGAAGCAATATCAGCAGGAGCAGGAACAAAAGCCACAGAAGACAGCAAAGGAAGGTGGGGAGCAGAATCTGGACTCAAAGAAGACGCAGCAACTGCAAAAGAAGGAACAGGAGCAACAACGGCAGGAACAGAAATGGTAGCAGGGAACGCTATCAGCGCCCCCTTCTTAAGCTCCTCCCAAAATGCTAATGTCCTGCCACACTCTCGACTCTCGATTCTCGACTGTCGGCGTCTGCTATTGTCACACATCCAACGAATATTAACATATTATTGCATGCCACATTCCATGTGCCCAACACACAGAAACAAGCCCAGGCTGTTCATGCATCTTGAGTGGTGGCGCCACCATGAATGCCGGCTTTCCTTGCGACACAAAACTGATTTGCCGGCATTATAGAGACAAAGGCAGGCTCAGGACCAGGACCAGGACCAAGAACAGGACCAGGACCAGGACCAGGGCCTGAGTTGCATTTAATCGCATTACTCTTCCGCTCTTCCGCTCTCTCTTCCCCTTTGCCCAGACATCACACTATTACTTATTTTTCGTTGTATAATGCACTTAAATTTATTTAAAAGTTGCCACAACGCAAGAAAAATAAAGAATGAAAACAGCAGGAACGACAACGAAAACGAATTGACAATGTGTGCAGCGAACAAGATATAATGTCGACTTGCCCCACAACCACCTTCAACCAGCAGCAGCAGCAGCAGCAAAAGCGGCAGTGGCAGCGGCACCAGTGGCATTGGCTCCGTACTGCTTACTGCAGACTGCATGCTGCATGCTGCATGCCTCATTCTTTTCATCATCTTCTTGTGCGGTTCATTGTTGCATTATTATCATTTGTTGTTATTGTTGCCGTTGCTGCCGCTGCTGTTGTCGCGGCACACACAATGCCGGTGGTTAACCCACACTCCTGCACTCTCCTGCCACTCGCCCGCACTTGCCTCGGATGTATCTTTTATGATTCTGGTGTTGTTGTTGTCTGTCTTTCTTCCCTGTCATGTGCATGTGCACTTAAATTAAAAAGCCTTCCGCACACATTGGCCTTAATATGCATCATGTTGCATCTTGCGGGTTTCCGAAAAAAGTCATTGAAATTGTCATGCAGCCACGGCGGAGTTTGATTAAAGATTGTCCAGTCTCTGGACAACACTTGATGGCAATCAATTAAATCAATCTCAAAAATACCACAGATAGGAAATCAAAAGATATATTTATATTTTCACAAGAAGTATATTTTTTGAAGGAATTTCGAATTTACAAATCGTTGAATTCTGTATTTCTAGAATATCCCGGTCTTCTACAGAATATTCAGAACATTCCGACTAGAATATTTTGAATGACAGTATCAGTAATTTGAGATTGACCAGGAGCTATTACCCCCACCTTAAAATCTTTATACATATGTCTTCCGTCTCTGCATGGAAAACATCTGAAGAAAATCATAATACCCTCTGCAAGTGTATAGCTATCTAGATGGAAACACATACATTAAGTATACGCACCATTGGACGGGGCCATAATTCCATCGAAAACAAGTCAGTTCCCAAACGGCTTTCACTTTGACTTTGGGCTTAAACATATATTTGAATGACAGCTGCCGGCGATGTGTGGGCATGGTAGTGGCACTGGCAGCCGCCAAGTGTCAGAGATTAAGTTGTATTTGCACACGACCTGTTCCGCAGGACCCCCACACCTCAATCCGCGCTCATCTGTGCCATCCCGTTTCAAGCATTGATCTGGAGCACAGTTTGCGGCATTAGCATGAAAATTTAATTAATAATTTTGAGCATTTGCCGCTTAATTGACTTGCCGGCACACCTTTGGCTTTTACGCCTTCTTGTCAGAGTAGTCTCAGGTCGCAGCCTTCTGCCTCTGCCTCTGCCACGGCCACTGACTGCAGTATTGATTTGGCTTAAGTATTTGGCTTTTCCCGCAAAGTATCTCTTCAATTTGGCCATGTATCTGTGTCTCAGGGTAGCTGTGTGTGGGTCTAAGCCTTAAGCTTGCGCATTTTTTCTGCTTGACTGACTGACACGCAATTCGCTTGGCACTGGCTCTGGAAGCTCTGTCTTTGATGCTGCCTCCCCCTTTCTCCCTGTCTGCGCTTTGTCGAATTTTCTACCTATTAAGCACATGAAATTCAATCACAAAACAAACACACACACACACATAGAGAAAGTCTTGCCAGAGGCCTGCTTTCCCCCCATTTGGACCCTTATCAGCTGCGGTTTAAACATATTGAATATGATGTGTAAATGTTTACAGGGTTCAAGGGTTGCTTCTGGCACCAGAGCCGTGGGATACGCTGCATCTGCGGCCATAAAAAAATCAGTTTCAGATGCGTGACTCCCCTAGAAAATGGCCGAAGGATCCATCCTTCGTTTAATATACGAGCGGGTCCATTGGGTAGAAAATAAAATCAAAATACTCGCCCGATGGCAGTGCAGGCTTAAATCTTTTACAAAGGTATGGGGAAAAAACAAAAGCCACAGGTGTCTTTTGATATGTTAAGTTGTGGGAGACCGGGGGCCAGAGGCTTGTCAACCTATGGCTGCTAGCCAAAGTTTCAGACTGTTTTAATTAAGATTTCATTTCATTGGAAAGACAGAAGCCAAAGCCAAAGCCGAAGCCGAAGCCGCAGCCCTAGTCCCAAGGATGTGAGCGGAGAGCAGCTGCTTTGTCTGGCTGATTACTTAGAAAATTAAACTTGTGCATGGGACTAATGCGAGTTTGATTGAAACATTTTCTAATTGCTGTTGAAATACGCTCGGTTTCGGGGATGCTTTTGATGTTGCAACATTTTGCGTTGGCTTACCGATTTCTTGACAAAGCTGACAAAGCCATATCCCTTTGATTTCAACGTCTGCGGATCACGCACCACTCTGCAGTCTCTGTGGGAAGATACAGAAAGTGAGAAATTCATTTTAATCTTGGGCAATTTGTTCATCTTAATGGTATGCCATGCAAAGAAAAATAATTAAAATTCAGCTTAGCATCGTTTATTAAAGCTATTTAAAATTATCTCCTAATGTTGATTGGACCGCCCAAGGATAATGGCCCAGAGAGAACCCCTTCAGCAAATTAAAAAAAAAAACCCAGAGTGGAGCGTTGGCCAAGTAAAAGTCAAGAGGCCAAGTCGATGTCGACATAGGAAATCCAATAGAATTACGTGTGAGGAAATATGAAGCGTGGAAGAAGGAAAAACCTACGTTCGAAAGGGATTTCCTACTCGTAATGGAAGTGCAGATAGTGGAGGCAGCGACAGCGGCAGCGGCAGCGCCTTCAAGGATGCCAGTGTGTATTTGGTGCGGTGCCGGGGCTGGGGCTGGGGCTGGTGGTTAAGGGGATTTACCCCTGCCACTACCCAACCACGTGTCGTGTCGTGGACGCTGCACACATTGCCTGCTAGCTGCTGGAGAATCGGGGCGTCAGCATTCGGCTTAAATATGTTTTCCCGTCCGGGCTAAGCCACGAAGAAATATTTTAGCCCTCTCCTCTGGCCCAGCTTTCCATGTATGCAACTGTGTGTGTGTGTGTGTGTTTGTTGGCCAACCGCAACAGCAACAACAAGCGAATGGAGAGTTGGTAGTGGCTAATGGGTAGGGAAACCAGGCCGAGTCGACGGGTTCGAGCCCAAGCTGGGCGGGAGCAGGCAACCCGCATGTCGACCACGGCATTTAAAAAAGGCCAACTTGATTGTAAATCACGATAAAAGTCAATTTTTAATATGAGTTTTAGTTTAGCCCGTGTCCCGAACTCCCCATCCTCGCCCCTTTGGCCGCTTTCATGTTAAGTGGTAGAAAAAAAAAACTGGAAACGTATTTTAATGGCCTTTGGCTCGTTCGGCTTTGGGTGGCGTCGCCTCAAGGTTGAAAAATTTATGGAGCCGCCACTATAGGGGGTTTGGTGGGGAGGGCTGACCAACTGCGAAATTGCATTGCGATTGCATTTGGTGGGGATTCGTGGGGACTGTGGGCCGAGTCCCTCAATCGATATGCCCATAAAATGTCGAGCAAAAAACATATTTAATTAAACTTTAATATTTATTAGCCACCAAAGGAATTGGGACTGCATTTGCTCGGGGCGGAAGGGCCGTATCAGATGGGGTTCGTCCTGATCTGGATTTGATAGGGATTGGGTGTGGGGCCGGGACTGGACATGTCTGGTCTGGACTGTCCTGGCCAGGTCTGGTCTGCCTCTGGTCTGGCTTGCACGCAAACAAACATACAAACACGGCATGCAAACACCAATACCAACACAAACACAGAGGCAAGCATACACAGATATTCCATACGAGTTGTACGAAAGATCCCTGTCAGCAGCGCCCGGCTGCCAATAGGATTGTGCTAACAAATTAAAGGCCATGCAACCATCTGTACCTCTGTGTGTGTGTCTTCCTTTGAGACTGGTGTAGCCAGTAGTCCCCCCGGATCCCCAGAGCATATCATATTTCACAATCGATAAACATCACAGTTCATATTTTCATAACGTTTTTGTTTGAATATTTTAACATGCAGACGGACAGGAGCAGGAGCTGGAGCACGAGAGGAAGTTGATTGGGGTGGGGGCGGAAGGGAAGGGAAGCACAATTTCCTGCTTGCATGTAAATACGAATTCGAGGATGTCTGCAAGTGCTCTCTCGCTCTCCCGCTCCTCTCGCTCTCTCTCCTGTCTATCCCCTGCATGTTGCAATAATATATTTGAACATTTAACAGAAAACAAATATAACCTTTGCCCCAAGCCACAGCCACTGCCGCAGTGGAGGCGGAGGCGGGAGCTTGAGTCAGAGCCTGCACTTTCCATCGATGGCTCTCAAACTGTGTGTTTCCACTCACATACGCACACACACACAGAGTTGTTATCATGCACGAGAAGCTTCCAAAAAAGCAGCAGCAGGAGGCGGTGAAGTGGCAGGGGGCGTGGCAGCTGTACCCAATGTTTGCCCAAAGAATTGAGCGACGATGTGGATGCGGCCAGAGCCCCGATGCATATGAGGCAGAGGCAAAAGAAAAGCGAAGCAAGAGAAGGGATTTTAAATATGGAATATCAAATGCTCTTACGGGATTAATGAAATAAAAGATAGCGTGAGGATCAAGCCAATAAAGATCCACCTCCCATCAGTGCCAATGAGTGTCCAAGCGACTCAAGACTCAGACTCCCTTCCTCGATCCTCAATCATTAACTCTTTTGAAACATTAAATTCTTAGTGAAAATACTAACATAATAAGAAGGATCTGCCCTTATGAATGGGTGTATGAATATACCCTTTTGGCCTCTCCTGCTCCTCTGTCCTCTGGCTCTTCCCCGCTCTCAGCTCAGGCCAATCAATATATTTCTTACAAACATTGGCAAAAGTTTTGCTTTTGGCTTAAGCTCTGTGCCTGATACTCGAAAATAAATTCAACTAGAGAGGAGAAGGAAAATATTTTGCTATCTTAAGTGCATAAAACTATAAACGTTAAACAAAATATTTCACACACACAGGAGGCACACACAAATGCGGTTATTTATACGTACGTACTCGTACGATATTTTTTGGCTTTATTCCCAAAGCCTTTGGCCCGGGACTCCGAGTAGCTTTTGGCCCGAAACTGATGATGGTTTCGATGCACGATGCACCAAGGAGTGGGTTTGCGGAGAGGAGACGAGACGAGTGGAATGTTTGCGGCGCGCGTTGAGCGCATTAGTTGTGGAGTCGCCACTAGTTCGGCTTCTGCAATTGGTTTATGCTAACAATGCACCCCCTCCACCACCACCTCCAGCACCATCTCCTCATCCACTGCATGCCCCTGCATTGGCCGGATGTATGGAAAATTCTTTTGTATTTGAATTAAAATTGCATAGATGATTTATAGCCGAATCGAAACTTGGGATATACTCGTAAACTTATGCATGAGATTTTTGTGAAATGCATTTGCGGCATGGCAGTGGGTATGGGAGTGCCAGGCAGCATTGATAAGTGTGGATAGATATGGGAAAAAGCAGAAAGCTGAAAGGATTTCGATTGAGTAAGCTTTTCCCCTATTGCTACTGAATGTATGCCCCGTTTCCTGTATTGCACGGGCAAATATAGACATTGGGAAAGCTAAACTATCATTTGAAATGCCAAAGAGCACATATTTATAGACGTGTAACCATGTCTTAACTAGCAATTTGCAATTTCCTGCGCACTTTAAGTGTCTCGCCTTATCTGCCCTCGAATCGCACTCTTGGGCCACATGTGCCCCCAACCAACCCCCCCCCCCCCCCCCCCCCCCCCCCCCCCCCCATGGACAGACGGACATACATATATAATTTACAGAATGGATCACTCCTTGCCTTGCCTGGCCAGGCCATGCCTTGCCGCATGCTAAACACATCAACAGCAATGGCAAACACAAATTACTCAGCAAAGCAAACAAATGTTAGGCGATAACATCGCGTACTACCAAAGGGAATTCCCTTGATATGTGAGTCAAAATCTATACCACTAAATCAATGAATTGCGGCGCTTGTCCTTCAATTTCCTTTGAGTAAGTGTGCCAATGCATTTGCTAGAGTCCGGAATCGGGTACCCGGAACCCGGAACCCGGAACAGAGCTCATCCAGCATTCATTCCATCATCATCCCATCATCATCATCGTCGTCATCATCCTTTGCCAGCCATTGACTGGCGTGTTTGAAATATTGAAATATTTCTGTTGGCCCTGTTTACACATTGGGTGGGGGCCATTGACTGCGCACAATTTTTTCCCATTTTTACAAACAAATTTTTTGGCCAGAATATTTATTCGATTTGTGTTTGTGGTGTGTCGTCTCCTCTTCGGGGCCTGGCATTTTATTGGCCTGCTCCAGCTCCTGCTGGAACGAAGATGATTTCCATTTCTAGTTCGCCGTTGAACGATTGCTGTCAGGGGGCTATAGAGAGGGGCGTGGCAGTGGCACTGTCGGTGGCGGTGGCAGCTACTTCGATCATCCCGTTCAAATACCAAATACAGTTGTAAATTCAAATGAAATGCAAGCGAGCGCATTGTTTGATTTGAGAGCCATGGAGGAAGGAAGAGGAGGAAGAGGAGGAGGAAGGACTTTGAAGGGAAATTCTGGCTTTCTGGTTAGCCAAATATTTAAAGTGGATTTCTTGAACATTTTATGAGCTTTTCACTGCGGTTGCGTTCTTTTATTTGATTTGATTTTCCGGCCAGTGGCATCTGGTTCGCCTTGGCCAAGAATTAAGTAATAAATTTTCGTTGGGGAAATATGCGGCTGGCGAATCGAAATGCCAGAAATGGGTTCAGGGAAGGAAGCAGCGGCAGAGGCAGAAGTAGAAGTAGAATGAATTGCTGTGAATTACAAATCCGTAAACGTCGCATCTTTGATGCTGCATGCACTCTACGAAATGGAGAAGGGAACTCTGAGGAGAAGAAGGAGGGCCAATGAAATGGGAAGGGAAGGCCAAAAGGAAAAGGAAAAGCCAAATCGGGGACTCATCACGTTCTCGTCCTTGCCCCTGTGCCTCGTGACGCCATCGCATCGTGACATTTATTTACACTAACATGCAAAACTCGCATTGAGACAATTTCATGCTCATCTGCATAAAATCAATTCCATTTTGGTAGACAATTTGAAGATTGGAATACAAATTTCGAATTATCAACATGGGACCCCCAAACAGAAGTGCTGCTCCATGGCAAAATGGCCAACGATCGCAATCAGCATTGAACCTCCTGCCACTCCAGAGAGGGCCATCTGTCTGCCTTTCTTGTGGCTGCTGCCGCTGCCGCTGCTTGACTTGTGCCGACGCGTCGTCTGTTCTGAGTCCATTTTTTTTCCGGCTTCACTCCTCCATCCACGCTCCTGTCCCCTGTCCAGGCAGCATTGCCACCATTCATGGATGCGACAGCGCTGGTCCACT